TGGGCGTGGTGGCTGGCACCTGTAATCCCAGCTACTCGGGAGGCTGAGGCAGGAAAATCGCTTGAACCCAAGAGGCGGAGGTTGCAGGGACCGAAATCGTGCAGCCTGGGCGACACAGTGAGACTCCGCCTCAAAAAAACAAAAAGAAAAGAAAAGAAAAACCCCATGCTTGTTAGTCTCTTACCACAAGAAACACTCGTCCTCCTGCGTCACCCTCCATCGGGGGAGCCTTGCTAAGGGCAGCGAGCGGAAACCAGGGCGTCTCCCCTAGGCCGGAACCGTGCTCCACGTGGGACGCCCGCCAGCCAGTGCGGCCGCTGGGCCTCCGCCTCCTCCAAACTGTAAGAGTCCTAAGAGCTTTTTCCTGATTACAGAAATAATGCGAAACTTGCTTTAGAAAACTGGAAAAGTATACAGTAAATAAGGATATTTATAATTCCACCTTCCTGAGATAATGAGTATTAACATTTTGGAGCATTTTCTATATTTGCAATCACATTTTTAAAAATAAAATATTAATATAAACCTAGAGGCATATCCCTTTCATTCACTTCAAGCCATCAATACAAATAACTTCCACCCAAGAAACAGAGGCCTCAGGGTTCCCCTGCTGCCCCTTCCTCTCTGTCCCTTACCTGCAGGTGGAATAGTCCTGCCTCTGACACACAGCCAGGGTCCCGGGCAGCTCATTCATCCCCCATACCCCAGAGGGACGCCGGCAGCCACTGTTGGCCCACGGGGCCCCCTCCACACTCGCGCTGCAGGGAAGGGTCTTCCAGTAAAAGACATAAGGTGAATTATACTAAGTTACAGTTTACCCCTTCTCACCCCTTTTCCATTTGTTTTACTTTATCTCTGGTAATGGTGGTTCAACCCACAAATATAACATCAGAGAAATAGAACTGTCATGTGGTTGGTATCATAGATGTTTTCTGACATACATGCCATCTAGTTCCTACCCAGTTACCCCTAATTTGGGTAAAGGATATTCTCTAGTTAAGATCATCTTTGAGGGAGGATACCTTGCACTGACATTTCCAAAAGGCAAATGTGTCTAGTTGTTTGTAAGACAACTCATGTGGAAATGCAGCAAGGAATCTGAAGGGGCAAAGGAGAACTGTAAATAACCAGTCAGCACAGTTCCATCTCACTGGCAATGGAGGGAAAGCAAAAAAAAAACAAGCTATCATTCTCACCCATAAAATGTAAAAACTTCAAACTTAGGTAACAGTCAAAATATTGCTGAGGATGGGCCGGGCGCTGTGGCTCACACCTATAATCCCAGCACTTTGGGAGACCAAGGTGGGGGGATCATGAGGTCAGGAGTTCGAGACCAGGCTGGCCAACATGGTGAAACCCCGTCTCTACTAAAAATACAAAAATTAGCCCAGCGTGGTGGCACACATCTGTAATCCCAGCTACTCAGGAGGCTGAAGCAGAATTGCTTGAACCTGGGAAGCGGAGGTTGCAGTGAACCAAGATCACCCCATTGCACTGCAGCCTGGGCAACTGGAGTAGCAATTTGCAAGACTCCATCTCAAAAAATAAATAAAAATTAAAATTAAAAAAAAATACTGAGGATGTGGGGAAACGGACACTCAAACACCATCGATATAGAAATTGGTGAGTTATACCTGATGTAAATGACGAGTTGATGGGTGCAGCACAGCAACATGGCACAAGTATACATATGTAACAAACCTGCACGTTATGCACTTGTACCCTACAACTTAAAGTATAATAATAATAAATAAATTT